TTCTAAAATTTATTTTGCAAAGGCAGACATGGCTTATACTTTACATTTAATAATTACAGTGTGCTTGAAATACAGTTCTTGTGTAAACACTTGCAATTAAAAATGATTGTATAAACACTTCTGAATTTCACTCTTCATGTGGAGCACACAAGTATAAGCACGCAATTACTGTATATGGTATTAGCATGCAATTTTATGAGAAATATCATTGAATTTTCATAATCTACCTATTAAGACTATTTAACATTCTCTCTATGCAAGGGCTTTAGTACTATGCTACATGTATCAATGTATTTTATTATATACAGTAGCTAATACATTTTAAGAGCAAAGCAATTCAAGGTTATACAGTTATTTCCACATTTCCATTTTTCAGAGTATTACATTTTTGTGGAATGGCCTACGTATTTTAAAAAGTCCCTGCATCAAGGACAAAATGAGAAGAGGTATTTGATTATTCATACGAGTGGCAAACAGCCTCAGTAGAAAGTGCAATTTCAAATCCATGGATACTAATCTTTTTTGGGGGGCTCAGTCATTTGTTTCCCCACACTATCAGAGAAAAAGTAACTCCTTCATTACATAAACACTGTGTGGTCACTCACTTTGGGACTAATTAATAAGAATGTCAAGCAGCAGTAAATCAAACACCAAAATGTATATCCCTACTTATTTTCTACTTGATGCTTGATGGTAAGATGCCTACATGCAAGGGAAAAGACAATTGCACTCTCTGTAGACGTGGTTTAAGGATAGGATTGCTGTCTAGGGAAAACCCAATCTCTTCTTCAAGATTGCATATACGGTAATGAAGAGCATTTTGAGGAAACAATTTAATGAGGGTCAGGGTTTGATGAGATTAAGAATTACTGAATTGTGTTAGAGAATTTACAGTGAATATTCAGAACGAATTCAGATCTTCTGATTGATTAGTTTTTTCCCCTTCATTATCTTCTGTTCTAACTTAACCCATCATCCCACCCATCCTCCCCCTGTGTTTCAACTTTTACAAATTCTAACAGGGGTCAAATAAATATACAATATAAAAAATACCATATGCTAGCACATTGACATTTCTGCCATTTCTTCCATTGGTACTTGTTTATACCTAAACAGCTTTCACTAGATTCTTGTGAAAGTCCAATGTCACCCAAATGGTTACTAACTACAACGTTCAGACAACTAAAAAAGTATTAAAGAAAGACTGCAGATTTATATTAATGAGTAAGTACAGTATATACAGTAAATGTATCACAACTAAGCACATACAGTATCATCACTAAACAGTGTTTGGGGCAAGATGCAGCACACACATAAACACTGTATGACAATGTGCTCTTAGCAGCTAGGAAAGAAATTAATAAAGCACACAGTAAGTAAGCCATGAATTGTATTTAAGCCTTGCATTGATAATAGTACTTTGCAAGTCTTGTTGTGGTGTAGTGTAGAATTCAAACCATAGCATGTCATGTTAAAATCGCATAATGCACTAGTTAGGGCTCATTTTGAATACTGTATATAATTTTGGTCACCATGTCATAAAAAGATAGTCATGGAATCAGTCCAGAGAAGAGTTACCTTTCTAGGGCTTAAGGGAATGTCCTACACTGACAGACTGAAAGAACTGTCTTCCACTGAAAGAATTGAACCTTCTTTGTCTTTAACAGACAAGTATTCCACAAAGAAATTGACAAAGTCTACACAGATGACTTTTTCCCAAAATGAACAGCCTCTCATTTATGTACCTTTAAGTTCTTGATTGTTTTCTTCAGTAGAACAGTGATATAGGTTCAGTTCACATAAGCATCAGTATTAGTTTGAAAATGAAAGATAGCTTATCTAATATCTAAATTAATAAACAAGCTCTGAAATGTTTAATTTTCATACTATCATATTATTAATTTTTACTTTACTAAATGAATTCATAATCTTAAATAACTAAAATATTTTTCAACTAGTAAATTAAGAACTAGCTTTCATTCAATATAACACATTGTTTGATATATGGAAGGTTTTTAATTCAAACAATGTTATTAACTCACACACAGGTGATAACATTTTTAATGAAAAGCATCACTTAGCAAAGATTACCTTAGGCCATTTAGTGAAAGAAGCTGTGTCATTTATACTCTAATTACCTTGTAAATTAAGAGAAGCATTCTATATTTAAATTAAAGAGTACATCCAGAATCACTCGGTTTTCATGCTCAAAGTCATGTTCCTGCCTATATTTATTCATTTTTCAAATGAATTATTTCCCAACAAAGTTAACTGATACAATTAGAAAAACATTTAAAGCACAAGATGTTAGGAAAGAATAATTTGTTTTCAAGGTATTTGCAGAAATCTTTTTTACATTGTACAGAAGCATTGTAATTTCAATTAAAGTGTACCATTTTATATACAGTATCTAGCAATCTTTAAAACTAATTCATTTAATTCTGTTTTTAATAAGATAATATCACTGTAAAAATAATAAAACAGTTCCAGCTAACTAACACAAACCCTGCAGAATTCATCTCCTTAGGGTAAAGACCAACCCTCATAACTCAACATCATGTTACAACATCACATTACACAATAACATGGTTATAATTCCAAGGAGTTTTCATTGTGTGGGGGATTCGTAACAGCTTTTTAAATAGTGTGGTTTCTTGTGACCTTCAGCATTGAGTTCTCTGGAATCATAACTATTGGACATTTGTATGGCACAGAAATGAACTGAAAAATGTTTCTTTCATGTGTGCATAAAAAAAAAAGATTTTTATATCTATTTATTCACAGTAAAAATGTTAATGAAAAGGAACTACCGTACATTTTCAAGATTGCACAATGTTACTTTGGTCACAAGCTTTTTTCTGAATTAAGTTCCTGTCTTGTTTCTGGAACAGTTATCCCATCTTTGACACAGCAGAAACTAAGGTGAACTTCCAACAAATGCCAATTTATGTGTGCAACAGAGGGGCACTGCATGTGTCAATACCACAGCTTCTGAGTCAAATGATAAACGACGTTTTCAGTGATCACTTTTCAAAGGCAGCCTAGTTTGGCATTCCAATCCATCTATCCAATTTCTTCACGTGCACCTGAAAACATTACAGCCAAATTAAAAGCCCTGATTGAAAGAAAATACTTTTCACCCCTCAGACCACAGGAAACTCATCTACATCAATAGTTAAAATGCCTAACAAATTTAGAATACTTTCCTCAATATACATATACTATTAAATTGCAGCAGACAGTTTTTTCTCTGGGATTACTTGATGTGATTAACATATCTTGGCTTGCATGTTGCATTTTGCAAGCATGGGATAAGATTTAGTAACAAATATTTCCAAGTCCTGTGGCACGCATTCATGTCATGTCAAAATGTTCGCTCTGCTTTATTAGAGGTTTCTAATATTTTGGCCAGTGAATTATGTTTAAGTTGAACAGGTGTATACTACAATGTCATTGACAGGACCCATGTAATATTAAAGAGAAACAGAGAAGGCACAGGAGTTTCACAGATGTGATGCCCTAGGCACCAGCTGACCTTAAACTCACCACAAACTGTCCAAATAATGAACTGAGGATGTGCTAAACACAAGCTGCAGAGCTACTAGCTACTATCCATTGACCTGTCACTTTAAATACAGTACATCACAGAATTCTGTCATGTAATCATTATTTCGTAGAGATAATAATAATGGGTACAAGAAAACCACGATAGCACAGCACAGTATGGTTTTTCCACCATTTTGAAGCTACTAAAATCTCCAGAGTGCCCCGGGTAAAGCTGCTAACCCAAACACCAAGGCTGACCTCCATGACTGCATGTTCACGCCTAGGTCATGTCAACCAACCGTGACCTGGACTCCCCAAGAGGTGGCGCAGTATCAGGAGAATGTTGCCAAGGGTGGAGGGGGGATGGGTCGGTCAGAGCTCTCTCAGCTCTTGGCGACACTGGGCCACTCCTCCAATCAGTCCCAGTCCTCAAGTAGGGGGTGGTGCTGGCTGTGATGTGTTAAAAGGGACGAGTGGCTTGAAGGAGCGCCTACACTTCCTCATTCTGCGCTGTGTGAGGTCATGGGATTTTAAATTAGCTGGGATTTACAAAAATATTGAACTATTCTACATCTTTAAAGAGCCTGTGTGATTTTTTTTTTCCAATTCTTCTGCTTCAAAATTCTGTCTTCATGATGCTTAGTCTAACTGTGGAAAAAATTCTGAAACCCAAAACGTTACTAGTAGAATTTGACTTACTGTTGAAAGAACGTGATTACAGAACTCAAACTTTAGTGTATAGTATTCATTCAACTCCTAATGCACTTATTACAAAAATGCTGCAAACTCTCCTAAAAGCTATAATTAAACAGACTTATTCTCCTGAAGGTTTTTCTTATCTTCTCTAAAGAATGTTTTTCAGCAACTGCCTGCCACTTAAAAATATAAAAACCCTGATGAATCATCAGAAGCCAAACTAAGATTTAGCATAGGCAGTTCTCATATTGCACATTTCTCCTAAAACTACCAGTTAATATTTCATAGTCCATGCAGCTAGACCAGAAAGACGGAACTTATCTGGAATTCACTGGTATTACTCAGCTCAGTGAGAGCAGCCTTGACAGAAGCTGGCCATGGGCCAGCTAAGGCCAAACGAATCTGTCTAACCCAATCAGGAATTGCAGAGTTTACTTAATTTGAAATATGAAACCAAGAATCTATAAAAATGCCTTTAAAATTGGGCATGACTTAGGAGACCTGTCTGTGGTGATCTGAGCATTTGCATGTAAGATTAGATCATAACACACATTACTAAGTCAGTAAGGGTTAGAAAAGTTACAAAGGCCAAGAAGAGTTGTAGGCTTTCAGAGATCTGAGTGTTCTGGTTGCTAGGACAACTTAAGTGACACAAATTCTCTAGGTCATTTTATCGTCTTACTGCTACTTTAAACCACTCACACATCCAATAAACCACAGTGGGCATGAAAAAAAAAACGTTTCCTTCAAGGACTTACCTGCCAAAATATGCTGTCTATCTTGTTTCCTAGGAAACCTTCCCTCGTTTCGGAAGACAAGAGTTTCGGGCCCAGTATTGTCATGAATTCGTCGAAATCCACCTGGCCATCTCCTGGTAAGGACCAGGAAGAAAAGGTGTTAGCGCATGTCAATACAAAAATGAAGTAAAGACGCCCACACAAGCCAACAAATGTAACAGTGAGTAGTGTTAGTTGTGACTTCAAAGATACAGTTGCCCATGAAAAGGTCTTCATCAGATTAACCAATGTATGTTAATATTCTAAAAATATCATCAAAATGAGTCACAAGAGGTTGGACAGAAAGAAACGATAACTTATTTAGGTTTTTGGTCACTGCGTACAGCAGGAGGAAATCTGCTGAAATATTGCTAGTCTCTATTTAAGAAGACTGGCAACATTGATGGGGAAAAATATTAGAGAATGAAAAAAATGTGTGAAAAGAAGAAATTCTTACCATTGTTGCACTTAACTTAATTCAGCAAAGAGATATTTTAAACATTCGCATTATTAATGTGAGACATTCATTGTTCCTCCACATAAGAATGTATAGTACGATTCCTTTCTGTAGCACTTGCTGCTTAAAATTTGCACAACTTGATTACCATACTGGAGCACATTCACAGGGGAATGTCTGGGTCTGCTCAACTTCAAATTCCCCTTAGTGCACCTGTTTAAAGCACTTGACTTTCAGAAAGTCTTCCCTTGGGCCTGACATTCAAAAGCAAGGCTCTGCCGGCATTAATTAACAAGTCTAAAAGATTCACAACGGAAGCAAGAACTTTGAATGAACACATTTAAATGAGTTTGATTGGGGAATTAATCGCAAGACAGCTCTCAGCTGTTGGGCATTTCTGAGCCGGTGTCAAAAAGCACAAAGTGTTCACAGAAATCAATTAGCAAAATAGGCGAGATGAAAAAACAAAACAAAATAATACGTTGTTTGATGGCTGGCATGATAGAATTGCATTTCCCCACCAGTATGATCTACTGTTTAAAAGATAAAAAACAGAACTGTAACTGAAATACAGAAATGTATTCAGTACGAAAATAGAGACTACAGGCAATGTTAAACAAACATGGGTCCTATGAGATGTGACATAGGTCAGACATCTCTGACTCACTTCTGCTCGCGCTGGGGCCCTGGGTTCAATTCCCGACCGTGGAGTTTGTATGTTCTCCCTGTGTTTAACAGATTGCCTCCAGAAGCTCTGGTTTCCTCCCACAGTCCAAGACACTGTGGTAGCTGAATGGACTTCTGGAAAATGTGACCGTGGTTTGAGTGCGTGCATGTGTCAATGTCCGCGTCTGTGCGTGCCCTGTGATGGACAAGCATCCCATCCAGGGTGTATCCTGCCTCGTGCCCACAGCCTGCTGGAACAGACTCCGACTCTCTAATGACTCTGCATTGGATAAAGCGACATGGGGATGGATGGAGGAGGCACGCACACATTGCCACGCCACCCTTCATTTTCTCGCTTCCCAGTGCACACAGACAAGCGAACTGGTCGATAAACTGGTGCCCCTGCCAGATGACTCTATCTTGCTAATTAGACTTCCTTCAAACTCTGAAAATGACCCTCATTGGAACAGGCGCATAAAGGACATTGATCTGACAATGCATACGCAATAGAGTGCTCATTGCAATGATAATTATATTGGTGGAGAACCCTTTAACAGCACAGATCAATGAAAGAGAGACAGAGGAGAGCCCTATAGGGCTGCAGAACTTTCTAACACAGTCCATGGGATATTTAGTTACTGAAGAAACATACCGTTTGTTTCAATTATACATGAATACTGCCTGTGCAAGGACAGCTGGAACACTTAAGAAATCTCTGTGCTGCGTCATAGACCTTCTATGAATTTTAAGTAGCCATCTTTGTTAAACATGCATCACACTGCTGTAATTCAAAGCTATGGCAGTTTGAAATGAGGGAACCTTTCGGATCTCTTTATAAGAGTAACGATATTTGTGATTAAAAAGGATTTGACTTATTTTTTCCAAATACATAATATGAATCCATTAATCTAAATGATAAATGCAATTATAAATGCAACAAGTAATACAGAAACTCCACTGGACCGTTCATTCCATGTTATTGTTTTAATTAATAGAAAACTTGGTGTTATTGTTGTTGTATTTGATCTGAGACCAGTCTATCTGCATTTGGATCCCCATAACTCACAAGCAACAAATCCTCCATCTGTAATTAAAGCACAGATGGTTTGTAATTGCAAAATGAGTAGGTGCATGTGTGCTACTCTGCTTAAACAATATTTATGATTGATTATGGCTTTTAATTAATATGCAGGGTAGAAAAGAACATTTCATGAAGCGAAAGCATGCCCTTAGGAATTTCCTGAATAAATAATAGTTGGATGAAATAGCAAACTTGTGTGGTTATTAAATCACATAACTTTAAAAGCAAGTGAAAATTAACAGGAAAAGAAGAACACTGCTGAGAGTTTCCAAGCGAGCATTTCATATACTTTCCAATCAAAAGTCATTAGCAAAACACAAATACAATTGAATAGGGTTAATGAGGGGGGGTGATCTAATGTCAGTATGTAAATTAGCTTTTCAATTGCATTTCATTGAATTAATTCAGCCATACAGTTCAAGGCCTGCGTACTCAATTTTGATCTGGTCCAATTAAATGATTAAGGATTACACCGGACCCATGCCCTCCAGCAGAACACTAGTTATTTGGTCTACAAGAATTCTAACCAACAAGCAGATTACAATTCACAAGCTCCTTCTCTGGGTGACTTTCTATGCATGAAAATAAGGACAATGTCCTTCAACTATTTAGCTCTAAAGCACCACAATAGTAATATGCAAGGTTAATTTATAAAAGGCTGATTGCTAATGAATTATTGCCATAGAACAGAGTGCTACAACACAGAGGAAAATTATTATTTCCAGACTGGGATATATCTGTGTGCTCCCAAGATTTTTCTTATTTGTACAGAAGGTGGCACGAATATTTTGATGTAAGAAAAACCATCATACCTCATAGCATTGAATGGTTTTCTACATTTCTATATATAATTATATTCCATAATATTGTAAAATATTATGCAAGGTAAATAATGGCACAGGGTTAAAATGAATAGCAGAACTGTAAAACAATATTTTATCAATGTATCTTGAAGTAATTCTTGTATATATGTATATATAGTATTATAGTACATAATATAGTATTCTGTCTTCCTGTTGGTTGATAGCAGCAAGCAAGAAGTTCAATTCAGGGAAAAAAAATCTATGCCATTCTACATTCAGTGTAAAAACACAGATAATGGGAAACAGAAAAACAAATCTGTGTGAGGAGTCTTGATGCTATCAAATTATTTCATTTCAAAATTTAAAAAGTGTTTCTTAAAAGTAGTTTTGCATAAAGCTCGAAAAAACATTAAGACAGATCAGCATGTCACTATTATTCCTATTGTCAGATCAGGCAAAGTCGTTTTTCATAACTTGAATATTATGATATGTTGTCCTGCAAGGTCAAACAACAACATACTTCACACTGTATTCAAATGTTATTTGGAAAATGGTTTCCTAAAGAACCAAAAACAAAACTAAAAACACAAATCACAATCGTACCTTTATTATCTTAAACAAAAAGCCAGCCTTAAATCAGCATACTGTACATTTAAGTTGGAAAGAATCTGATAAGAAATCAGTAGCAAAAGTAGGCTTTTTTTCCTTTGCTAAGAAGACGTTTGTGATAAAAGATTTTTTTTATCCCACCAATGGGACACCAAGATATATCTGCAAAAGACTGGGTCCAGTTTTAACATCTTACATTTGCAAATAATAAGTATTGTAAAACAGAAATTAGTTTGTACTGTTGCAGGAGTGAGAGAGAAATGCTGTCTCTTTACAATCACTCAAAATGGTTTCAAATAATTCTAAGGAGCTGAAAGGAAAAAAAAAACCCAAAGATTTAAAATACGGATCTCTATTTGTCACTGCTAACCTTTGCAGTGTTACAACTCTCCAACGCAGAGTGCATAAACTACTTTTCAAATCATAGCTGCAGTTTCCATTTGTGTTGACAACTGCTGAGAAATGATGGGCATTTTCTTGGAATGCTGCACCACACCTTACAAACCTTATGGCAACATCTTATGCTGTGCCAGTTCTGGAGATAAATGACTGTCTGACCAGTGCCCATCGAATAAGTCACTTTGATATGACAATTGCTGCTATAAGAAAGAGTTGTGTATGTTCCTTGCTGTACACAGGTCTTCAGCTGAAAGTTTTAAAAATTGCCCTTCAGAAAAAAATTAACTGAGTTTAAAACACAAGCAAATGGATTTTTATGGGCTCTACATTAAACAGAGAAACAATTAACTGCAACAGAAGAATACTGGACTGTAAAAAGAAAAGAAAAATAAATATCGAAAAAGAAATATGTGCCAAAGTAATTTTAAATGTCTTCTCCTTTTTTAATTTGCACAACAAATTATTGACTGTTCAGAAGACAATAAATAATGAAAGCAACAAAAGTCAAAAGTACTGCAGAGTATTTTTTGAGGTTTCACATCAGTAGTTAGCAGCATAGAAGATTTTCTATTTACAGAATGATGTTTGCAGGCATGTTTTTGGACTGGGGGACTTGTAAGTGAAAACCAACTTGTCAGACAGTTGTTTTATTAACAAATAACTAAAACTATTACATGTTCTTGCCTGTGCCTCTCGTAATATTCCACTCTCTCTTGATATATAATACACTGTATATTTATGGTACTAATAGACAACAGAACCTATACAATAGTGCGACCAAGTCAGCTGCAAATATTCAGCACTGTCCCCAGTTTTATAAACTCTCAAACCTTGAATGTTGCAGCTTGCATAAATAAATAATGTTTAACTTGTCATTCAAGCACAATGTCAAGCACAAAGGTGAAGCACCACTGACCCAAACTTTACACAGCACATAAAAGTTAGTTGTTTTGAACAGGGAACACAAATAAACTAGACACAAAGCATTTCCAGCGTTCCAGAGCTTAGACTGGTGACCAGATGCACAGGCCTCACACAGTTTTCTTTTGTTTTTGCCAAGATGTGTCTCTCCAAGAAACTCACAGCCCTGACAGTAAATCCCTTTCAGCTTCAACACTTTAGTGGGACAGAGAAGAAAACAAAATTGCATTCAAAATGTCATAATAACTATGTCAGCAAATTATAGTGTGGTGTAAATACACAGGACTGCTGTTTCTCAACATCTGTTCCATACAGAACTGTTTTCAAATAAAACTGTCTTGCTTTGGCTCCTCAAAAAAATCAATTAACAATTAAAGACAAATCAATTAAATGCGAGAATGACTTCAATAGCCTTTCTTTTCACTTCAGGACTGAATTATTGCTCTCACAGGGTCACAGTGCTCCAGCTTCCCAAACGGAATTCAAATATTTGCAGTATAGTGACTATACTCACCTCATACTAAGAGAAAAAACATCACTTTTCATTTATACAGTATGTACATACAATGATGTATTAGAAAGTATGCAAACCAATAGGTATTTTAATTTGATTAAGAAAATGTTTTGACACTAAAATAAACACCAAAAATGGAAAGTACATTATATAAACTTTACAGAACACGAAAATAAGATCACTCAAAAAAGTTTCATTCATAGGTGCTGATCAATATCCTCATTGATATCAAAGGTGATATAATGGCAAGTTGGATCAGGAGGTTTTTATATCAAGACATTCTGATGCCACTAACCTGGTCCAGGGGTCACAGCGTCCTGAAGATTACTTCCCATTTTAGCCCTGAATGGCCACAACGGATCAATCCGCTGTCTAATCAGGAGAAGATTAACATGCTTCCCAGGATGACAATTAAATGTCTAGGGCTCTCAAACAGACCAGACCTGGCTCTCAAACAGACCAAGTCTGATCTGACACTCACCATCCATGTCTAGTCGCTGCATGATAATCGCCAGTTCCACCTCGCTGGGCATATACCCCAGCGATCGCATCGCCATGCCCAGCTCCTGTTTCGAGATGAAGCCGTTGCCATCTCGATCCAGAACCCTGAATGCTTCCCGTATCTCTGTGAAAGAGAAACCAAAAACACATGTAAGCATGTTTTAAAAATGGCTGAGCATGACGGGCCACCAGCTAGAGCTACAATGTATACTTCTTCCTTTTTCTAGTGTCCTCACACTCTTAGAAGCAGATCATTGCCATTGCGATTTTTAAGGGGAACTGCAGTCTCAATTTCGCAGACCGGTTAGTAAACTTTTAGTAACCCTCACTGACAGTACTGAAAAAAATGTATACATTTTGAATTAAGCACAAAATTGTGTACTTTGTGGAAGTTCTGTATAGTTGCCCTGTGGTTGCACACCCCTGGTTTCGTCACAGGCGAGAGTGAGATTTCCAATGAATTGCGACGTGAAGCAGTCCTTCCTGCTCACTAGTCACTGCAATGACTAACATAATGCGATGTGCAGGTGAGTATATAGTGTTCCAACGTGATCTGCAATATTTCTATTGAATTAAAAGAAATGTAAAGTATGCACAGGCCTGCTTGTTTACAATGTAATAGGGCCACTTCATGTCACAAGAAGTTTGGTCAACTCATTCAAAATCACAGAACATGGCACTGCGCATACCTGGAACTTTTGTCTATTTTGTGGTTACTGTGTTACTGTTTACATTTTACTTTCACTGTGGTTTGAAATGCACTCGTCAATGCTGATTCTTTCTAACCCTAAAGTATAAAAATAGCATTGCATTTTCTTTTTAAAGGCTTAGACTGCTCACCGCACTAGTTGTAGCATTTAGGAATTCATCAGTAATTCCGGGTGCTCAATCTGTTCTTTCAGACATTCTTTGATAGTCGAGTAGTGACAAATAATTTTGAGCCAACAAATAAAAGGGAGAGAGTTCTTAGTATTTTGGCATTAACTCTCCTGGAAGAAGAATGATCTGCGCCCAGTGCTGTCACACCCCCTCACGTACAAAGGGTGAAGTTGGGGTGAAGGTAGGGGTGCCAGAAAAGATGGAACGCAGTGTTGTATGTAGACGGGGAGAGTTTATACACAGGGTAGCAAAACTGCGACATTAGAACTTGACCTCTTCCAGAATAACACAATAAAGCAAATCCTTAAAAAGTTACCTCTGTCAGTCCTTTTACATTTTTAAATTATCAGGAAAAGCTGAGGAACAAAGCACAATACCACCTTTGAGCTTTAACTTTCAGGTTAAATGCTAGTATGCTATTCTGTTCACTTGTATCAAAGAGATATCTTGAATAAATTCAGTAAATACAAGTTATGGACATGAATAGAAGATTTGATTCAGTATTATTGGTCTTGTTCTCTGCAACTGCTGCAGTTAACATTTCAATCAGATCTGTAAAGAGGATGGCCTCCAGCAGTTATTTTTTGAATCACTTTCTCCCAAAACTGGGATATTTTTAATTATATAGTATAATATACTAGACAAAATGTATATTAAAAAAATTCATATTAAATAAAAAAAAGTATTTGGAAGAAAATGCTTCCAAAAATTAAACCCTACTTAAAATTAATGACTGAAAATTAAATTAGCAATCTGCTAGGGACCTATGTCCCAAACTACCCAAAACTGTGGGTAGTTTGGTGACATAGGTCCCTAGCAGATTTCTAATTTGATTTTTACAGCATCATAAAGTTTTATAAAACGGAACATGTCTATAGATCAGTTCAGCACAAATTCTTAAGAAACTCAGGAAATTACCTTTATTAGTGTCTCAAGCATTTCACCACAACAAGCAAAATGCTGAGCACAAATGCTGATAAATTCCTCAGTGAATATCTTAATTATTCAATAAATCTTTGTTTCTTGGAATAATACCAAGGACTTTAGTTTCATATTTTCAATAGTATTAGAAGTAGAGATATTTCTTTTTTGGACAATCAAATTATGAATTCAACAGGATTAGGCTTTTAATTAAAAGTGCATTCATCCAAAAAACATGTACTTGAAATTTCTTTGTTAAAATAATCAAACAACAAGGTGATTTAGCTTTTAATTTTACCACAAATTTACAAGTTTTAGATTATGGGGATAAAGTGTAGCCAATTTTCCCTTCAAAAAAGCAAAGCAATACAATTTTTGACATAAGTACAGCATAGTTTCTAATAACCTGAGTAATACAACAATCCTTTTTAAAACACAAGACTACTACTATTCAGTTATTAATATTGGAAAAGATATCAGGCATTCAACAAAACTGAGAAATCAGATGTCAAACCATAAATAACATGGTGCCACATTCATTGAGGTGTCAATCACAATTGATGGGGCTACAAATCAAACACAAATCACATTCATTGAAGTTACTGGGAAGCTTGTACACCTTCATATTCAAATATACTGAGCATCAAAAGAATGGCATCGCTTATTACTGCAAGACATTCACGATGTAATCAGGAAAATCAGAAAATCACTTTATGTATCAGATGCACAGATATTTTATTGAACAGACATGACATTAGTTACTTCATTATGCTGATTAAAATAGATCACCGCCACTGTGAAACTCACAGACCAGTAATGTGTGCGTCGCCACCACTGGAAGCAACACAAGTGAGATGCATGCTTTGCACCAGGTTGCAGACACTGTTTTGTGGGACTGGATCCCCTTCCTATCATATAGCCTGGGTCGGTTCACTAGTCTCTGAGCTCTAGATGCTTCTCTTCATTGGAGATAATCTCAGAAATGTTCATTGCTTTCTCACTTTCTCATCATGCAACAAAGCAGCCCCAACACAAGCAGCACGAGGACAAGTCATGTCTTTCTGGAATGTTATCACATCAGAATGTGTCTGCAGAAAGGTCAGCATGTGAGGCTGTTTGAGGTCCCGACTAATGTAGCGCCATGCAAACAGGCTCCTGTCAATCACTAGAAGTGAAGTTCTACAGTGATGAGACACTCCCAGCCAGACCACCCCACACTTGGACTTCCCCATTGATGGTTCTGTTGTATATAAAAATGATCATGTCTACATAAGCCATATGCAGCAAAATGGTCCTTGCTTCACTGCAGAATTGGTTAAACTGTTGGCAAATCCATTGCTGGCAAGAAAGCACTGTTCTCTTGATGAGCAGGGCATTTTGTTCCGTTCTGTTTTATCGAAGAGGCTTCATACTGTATTTACCAGGTTAAAAACCTCATCATCTGTACCCAATCAACTCTCTCACTAATGTGGTGCTGGCAAGCAAGTGACTTTAGCTGCTGCATATCATGGTCAGTCAGATCAGTTAATCAAAAGCTTTTAATCAATATCCCAAATCCGATATTGCATACATGGAGTTTCATTTTTTTTTGTGCTCAGTATATTAAGCTAGTTATGAACAGAACAAGAACCGCTGCTTTCTTCATCTACTCAAACATTATTCTCTACATCATCCATGGTATTCTTTGATGCCATATTTATGGGGCTTCATGGCATTGGGTTCATCAATGAGATTTATAGGAGCTGTTATATTTCTTCCTAACAGCTGGCTCACTGCTATAAATTTGTGTATTATCGATTCATGCTACAATACAAACGTTCTGAAAGCTCCCAGTTCTCCAGGAGAATTTGCACATTAAAGTGATATTTATTTATGTATTCAGAAAGATCAGCTCATGCATAATTAAAACAGGAAGAAACAATGACCAAGCTGTGGCATGGCATCAAACTGCTTTAATGGTGAATTTCAATTAATTTACATCACAATCTAATATCCTAAACTTGCAGCCCTTCCAATTCTAAACCTGAAGAGTGATTTGAGGCACTTTGAATGATTTGAAGCCGGGGTGTTTCTACCTTTTGCTTCAAGAATCAACACCTTTTTCTAGTAATGCTTACTTTAGTAACAAATTGTTTGGCCCTAATTCACACACTGTTGCCATAGCAATACTAGTCCCTTTGCTGGATTTTCCCAAATGGATACACAAAGTCGTTGGGCCTGTCTTCATTAATTCCAGATATTCCTCATAGGTCTAACTCCCAAACCTAAAGGTTTAACTTCAGACCTAGTAATAACTCCTTCCTCCTCTTTTTAAGCATACACTGCTGTTGGGCACCTCCCTGGTACTCAATATGGTATGCTGAACAACCTACTGGTCTTAACCTTGTATGCTTAAGTCCAATAGAATCCCTCCAGTTGTGGACACCAAATCACCTGTTTAATTAAAACATAACACACACTTTAGATTAATACCACATTTAACCTAATCAAAACCAAATTCAATTTTGCTCTGCAAAAAAGGCGTACACTTGTAGCTACTGTACAGTATGATAACAAATGTGTCTAGGGATGCTACTTATTAAAGTGAGCTTATCACGTTCTGCTCATACAGATAGCATTTCTCAACCAGGCTTAATTAACGCTGGGCTTTGCTGACCTTCCACACAATTAATTGGATTGTTACAACACAAAGGGAAAAAGGGAGACGCAAAAGGCCAAACCACAAACATTTCACTGGTAACATGAGCAAACACTGGTTCGGTCATTCTGGTTTTGCAAAATAATGGAAACTTCACTGCACTATATAAGTATCTGGATTCATTAATAAAACAATGAATCCAGAAAAGATTTCCTAAGACCCAAACCATCAATAAAAAATAAAAGACAAAGGAATGTTTTTAATTACATATAAGACAGCTTTTTATTTATTACAGCTGCATACAAAGTTGCAGTCCAAAAAAAAATAGGACTTTCAGAAAAACCTCCAATGTGATATATTCAAAGCCAGACAAAGATGACTGATCTTTCTATTTAGTCATTTACTAGCATGGATTTTTTCTCTGAGGTCCTTTTTGTTATTATATATATAATCTTTTTCACTTTTTGAACTGTGGTGTGAATAAACAAAACCTTTTTGCATTTTTCTGAGGATGGACCATTTTTAAAAAGAAATTTTACTTCTAATGAATTGAAGTACACTTTAATTTAGTGCATAAGTGTGCCTGTTTCAAGGCACTGGGTTTTACAAATAACTCTGTGTAACTGGTGTTTTGTGCATTCCAATCCAGTTTAGTAAGATTTTCTTTTTTCTAACCTTTCATAAATAATATCTGCAGCTTCTGTGGACAGTAAGACTTTATTTCACCCATTCATTTCAAAACATCCAGATAAAGAAGTTTATTTCCATATGTGACAACTGTAGTCTCCATATCAAAAGCTCCAGTTGAATATGTTATTTGTCAAATATTTGTTCCTGTGTTCAACTGCCCAACCTCCAAAATACACTACAAGCCTGAATTAATGTTTGATAAGCTTAGCAATTGTCAAGTCAAAGGGATGTTTAAATACAGTCTGATTTTTTTTATATGCAGCATACAGGAGCTGCCTAATGCGAAGAACAGCAAAATTTAAAACAGCCCAGAGCACCTCTGGAGAAATGCCACCAAATCTAGATTATAATCTAGAATCCTGCCACGAGTTTATTAACTATATCAGGCCTATATTCAGAGCTCTGTCCAGCATCTTACAGTGACTGTATTATTGTGTTATGTTTTGAAATTGAAAAGAACATTTCCATATGGTTATTATTGTTCTGCTCTGCTGTACACTGTTGTACTCGTTTCCCTCAAGGTTTTATGTTCTCTGTGCAGAATCATAACACATTTAAAATTTCAATGAATTCTCCTACTTTGTACAATGACCAGAAAGACCTAACAATGATTTACCTAGACTGTTAAATTTGATGGAGGAGCTGTGAGAGCACTTCATATTGGCTGCCCACGTACGATTTATCCTGAGTAGTTACGATCAAGATTTTGAGGATTCTGATCAATGTGAATCAAGACTGCTAAATGACAACCCTGGTTTTGTCTCAGCCAAATAAACTTTTAACAACTGCTGTAAAAGCAGAGACAAATAAGGGGAACGCTTGAGCAAACTTTGTTGCTCATACCGTGCATCGATTATATAACTGCTGATTCTGTCCAAGATATCTAAAACTTTTAAACGTTTAGACAGTTGCCACTCCAAATTGCCACTTTGCCATTGTAAAGTGGCAATTTGGAGAATCAAAGCAGTTTGAACAGCAAGACTTTATAAAGAAGGTGCAGAAGCCTGTCTCACTCTTCTGCTTCCAACTACTCAAGCACTTCACTCACCATCAAGTTCTTCCACCGAGATGTTGGCTAACTGTTCACTGTCGCTCCCATCAGAAAGGGATCTGCTCAGATAATTCCCTTTATACAGCAGGCCTGCAGTCACATGGTGGAATGGCATCTTCTCCCTAAACACCATCAGAGACAGAGAGAGACAGCTGTTAATGCACTTTTTCTCTGCTTGCACACCCATGACTTACTGCTGATCACTCTACAGAACTCTTACTTTTACCTTGTTACAAAGTGATTGTAGTGGAATCACTCCTTAGATGGCTGGAGAGTTACAGTAGGCGTACCAACAGCGTGCTGTGCCTCAACTGACAAGACATCCTCTCAAGAGGATTGCTTTTAACATTGTTAACATTTAAAGGCTTGTTTTAAACCTCCGGATACCACTTAAAAGAATATTTCACACATACACGCTAATCGCTAAACGAGATCAGTCCACTTTTGCTTCATTTTAAATCTATGGTTTCTCAGCGTTTAATACTGCTGTCAGTACCGCTGAAGTGACGCATTTTTATTAATTTACATGCTGATTGTCTGCGTGTGTTTATTGAATTGTAACTGTGCTAACATGGTGTTTGCTACGTATTCATACAATACATATAACAGATTAATTCTGAACGGAGTTGTGAAGTCAGCAGATGAGTGCAACCAAGTACAAACCAAGTGTTGGGTACCTCTAGAAGCAAATGACAGGGTTTGTCATGACTGGAAATATATAGTGAGTTTAAATCCCCATTATTAAAGCAATTTCCTTTATCTATATCACCTCACATAAAAGGTAAATAAACTATAGTCTTTATAAGCATCTACTTAACATTCACAGGGAAGGCATATATTTCAGATGTTCTGAATGTCATTAATTTGCCAAAATTAGTACATAACCTAAAATGCAGAGAAATATGGTGAATCGTGTTTTGCGATTAACACGTTATTGATAAGTTTCACCGCTTTTTAAGTGTTTTCTGTCAGTTCATGAGGCAATTAGTTGACATGAAAATCCCTTGAGTGCATGTCTTGTCAGTGGTCACTGTATGCTTAGGAGCATGCTTAGTCAATGTTTTGAAGCATTGTAAGAGAGTGTGGGACTAAAAAGATATTTACTGCCTAAAGCTGTACATGCATGATTGTGAGGAATGGCTTCCTTAAGAGAAGGAGATACCAAAATGTCCACCAAGAATGGATTTTTTTATGTCTAAACACTCGTAAATGTCAACGGCTCTCTGCTTTGCCCCTTTCGAGACACTCAATGCCAGGCCAGTTTGAAACCCCACACAAACGTTACTCCCTTGAGTGGAAAAACAAAATTCCAAACCTCCAGTGACTCTGCTGCAGTGGCTGGACCACACAGCCTATTGATGGACAGATGGGTTTCGTCAGCTGCTGCACAATTTCATGTCACCAGAGCCAGACTGGAGAAACCGAGACAACCACCTGTTTTCATCACTCAGTTTATCTCCCAGATCACTAAATATACACCACACTTCGAAGGCACAGGGTCAATATGACATGACATTTAAAATTAAACAACTTACATTATTTCAGAACTGACAAGATTCCCAAAATGAGTGCAATTTAAGTCAAGTAACACCACAAAGGGGTCAATTACACATTTGCTTTATTGATATAAAAATACCTTCATAAGCAACTCTATTGTATGTATGATTGAATGTATGGTGAATACATATGTACTGTACATCGGAACATTTTGAAATGGCCTGAGGAATCAGGTTGTATTTTTTAATGTAAAATTATACAGTCAAAAATACTAAGCTTAAAAGAAAAATCCTGTGATCTCAAGAGTTCTTTAGGATTCGCAAGGAGGATACTTCTCTTGCACTGAATAGGTATGGTAGTTGACACAGAGATACTCCCTCAAATACTTTATTTAAATAATGTACTGAATTTTTTATAAGGCATTTCCTTCTAGAATATGTGTATAATATCAAAACTATAACAGCAGTTTAATAAAGGACTTTCTGTAGTTTAATAATTAAATAGCCCTCAGCCTAGGGGCAAAAACTAACTTTGAAAGCAGAGTGAACAACAAAACAATATATTTCATCTTTCTTATTAGATTTTTTTAGAACAAAAAGTTAATGCTTCATGAAAAGCAATAAATTCAGAAATACCCTATAAGAAAACAGTAATGACACTGTGCAAAGACTGAGCAGACATATTATGAGTGAATGTTTAGGGTCATTAAATGGAGTTTTAGTAGGTTACACAGTACACATATACAGTACATACAGACGGTGAATTGTAGTATTCAAGAAAGCACACTAGCTTGACACAGACCCCAGGAAGATGAACACAGTCCTCAAATGGCTATCCAGAGCAAGGTGCGGAAGAAAATGATTCTAGCCCGTAGGTCAAATGGGATAAAGAAAATCCAAGGTCCTAACAAAAAAGGCACGCATTAGTGTTCAGAACACTACTGCATTTTAATTAAGAATAAAGCATTTCCAGCATTTCAGCTGGCACCGTTTTTTCATTGCTTTGACAAAATAGATCTGTGCTGCAATTTTATCATCTTTAATGTATAAATACACTGGTCTCAGGGTGTTGCAAAAAGTGCTGTTGATATTGGTATAACACATCTGTTCCTGTTGCTTTAAACCAGCACGAAGCTGATTCTAGGTAGTGAGCTGAACTGTAATCTATGATCGATTCATTCTGCACTCTGTACTGAATGCCACTGAAACTGAAGTGAAGCCATATAGAATCTTCCATTATGTGGTAGCATATTCCATCCAGATGTTTCTAAGGCTGCATTAGGGTTTTGTTATATTTTATGATCATAAACCTGAAGTATTTGAAAGAATGAAAGGTTGAGATACCGTAGTTCAACAAAAACAAGCAAACAGGCAAATGCTGCACAAACGCAGCAGGGTAAGCTTGTCATTTCAAATTTAACTTAACATTTTTAGAGAACACCTTTAAGTCTTCTGGTGTGTTTTAGCATCTTAGAAACATACCATACCTCAGAAGTGTTCCATATTAAAATACGCATGCTCTACACGTCTGTTTCAATAGTCAAAAGACAGCTACAGTATTTCAGTCAATGATCCCTACTGAGCTTGGCTGCTACCTTTGACTTTATGTTTTTTATATGCAAAAGTGGGTTTAGAATTCTCTCTAGATGGTGTTGTGAAATGGTGAGAGAAAGTTAATATTCATTCTCATAATAGATTAAGTTTCTTAATGTCAAGGGACTCATTCTTAATTTGAATGTTTTTATTTTTCTCCTTGGGGGAAGAGTAACTCAGGAAGACTGAATGTGGTGATAATAACCTTGGGACCCTGAGTTTTATTCCCCACTGTTACCATGGAAATGGGTTGATGTCCCATTCTAATCCTTAGTCATGAAACCTATTGCCTTGTTGATACCATTACTTGATGAGCCACTTGCTGGAACTAGACTTTTGATAATTATTTTTAGCCCTGATGTGAACATGCACATGCTTGCGTATGTGTGTGCCCTGTGATGGCCTGGCGTATTGTCCTGTGTGTATCCCAGAGATCATGTGTTGCATTGAAAATGGATAGATGGATAATTCTTTTTCAGAAAACGTTCCTTTTGTCCAGGTTTATTGTAATGTGGTCCCTCTTTTTAACTTTTTTAACTTTTTAAAATTTATTCAAATGACTGTTGTATATTCAGCTAGTGTTACAAGAATTCATCCAGCTGCATGGACAGCAGAAAGAGCATGTTTGTTTGGAAGTTTTACTTGGCACACACAGTGAACAAATAAATAAATATTTAAATTATGGTAATAACCTTCAAAGGAAATCCAGGCGCAAGTACTCTGCCTCTGTACAATATTTACATAACCCAATTGGTATTTAAATCATATATGTTATCAGATACACCTTGATGGTTCCCTTAACAAATACAAAGAGTCTTGATACCAGGTCACAGTGCACTGCTGTAGATTTAAGAATCAAGTAGGAAAGACTTGAGCAGTAGTAGTAGATACTGTACAGTTTGGAACTATGAGACTTCTCAAGCTTCCAGTACCAACAGGCAAGTGTCGATCTTGACTCTTTCCAGTTTGCTGTGGCCAGCAAATAGCAGACATCTGTTATTTTACAGCAGCATAGAAATTAAGACAAATATCTCAGAGATTAATAGAGGTCAAAGCAATGTAGACAATATTCGCTTTTCACTTCAGTTTCTCCTAAAGCTGCATACTGTATCTCAGAAAGGACCAAAAAGGTTGGTCAAAATCAATAATATTTGTTGTTTATGGTTGGAACCACACATACAGTAGTCTGAATAGGGGTTTAAATTATTTTCTTCATATGAATTGTTGTTGTTTTTTTTAATATGTTTTACAATATCCATTCATTGTAAAGTTTATACCAGAAACTCAGAGGTGATGGGTATACTAAACATAAATTTTAACTTACTGTTTGTCCACCATAGACAATGACTACAAATCCAAATGGGGTTCAATTTCTTACGGTGTTAGGATTTTAATTATACAATTCATAAGTATGAATTGAATTAAAAAACCTCCTTAACCTCACTATCGATAGAAGGCAAGAAGAAGAAAATATAAATGCAATCTCTAGTTCAGGGACAGAGGAAACTCAGTGATATACTGTATCTAGAAGTCCAGTGAGGAATCTGCTGCTATGTACTGTGATACCTTCAAAGAAAAGACGACAAACAATTACATTGGTGAGTACTGAAAGAAGCAATTATGGAAAATACATGCATCACAGCACTTTTGATTAGTTTTGGGACTTTGACCAACAGACTGAAATGTGATAAACAGAGAGAAATCCATCCTCTCTTTACGGGTGCTGTCACTGAAGACATATTTGAAACATATTCCAAACTGAGCAATAGAGGATACATAAGAAAGCTTTTTTCACTGGCTGATGACCATTTTTTATATAGTCATAAAAAGTGAACACTGTCAACACTTTAGCTTGGTTCTCTCTCCTCAACAAATACCCCCAAACCTAAAAGAATCCCACAAGTTTCATTGTTTTATTTTGTTCGTCGATCGATCCTAATAATCTCATCAGATGTGTTTACAACTTAACACTAGCATGAAGTGGCAGGGTTATGCAGTTTCACAGACAGACAATTACTTAACCTACAACATCATCTTCTTCTAAATCAATAATACAAGCAAGGGTCTCGGGCTCACAGATACATCGCCAGTGCTTTGTTGGCACTGACAGCCAATCAAATAGCTGACTCCCTCTCTGTATTTGACTAAGAGAAATGCAGCCGGACTCTGAAGGTTCTCTGGCCTCTTCTCAATGGAAACTGTCAAAACCACTAACATCAGACACATTAGAAGCAGGCCAAGATTTTAAAACACATTTAAAAAACAGAGCCAATTCAGTGCACTTAGCAGTACGGGACTGCCCTGCTTCGGCCATTGTTTAAATCGATGTTGGAAAACGCCTAATTAAATTAGCCTTGCAAAGTACAGTACTAACTACATAAGTGGTCCCAATGGGTATTAACAACAGTTTTGAAAGATTGACTTATCTTAACAAAGTGAACTTGTAGTTTGTGCGATGGTCTCTGTATGTGTGATATAATCCAGTGTGTATTCCAGTTCTCAACCAACATGTACAACAATGTCCCTGTTACTAAGCAGCACTGAGTCAGAATGCTGAATTCTGCTGAGAAAGTGGAGTGCAGGCCAGACTAATTTGCCAACCCTCTCGCCATGTATTGTACTGTTATGCATTCGTTTTCTGCGAGACACACCACAGAGAACAACAGATGGCAATCTCTTACTTCAAAACCGCTGAGGAGCAGACCAACCGATGTCATATATTGAAGGCGCTTGCATTCAAATATCCTCACCATCCTGTGGACAACACCTTTTCAAGTGAACAGAAGCTCTCTTGGCCACACAGACTTGCATTTAAGAAGCAGATTCCATTGGCGGCACCCTTGTCATCATGGGTTTTAAACATCAGGTCCTTTTCAGTGGATTAATGCCAACGTTATAAAAATTCTCACACCCCGCTGGTTGAATGTCAAACGACAATGTAAGGTACACTGAACCCAGTGTCCTCCCACTGCCACAGTTGAGATATCTGTCAATTCTCTCTGTTCAGTAACAGCATTCTTAGGAAAATGTATCCAAACAAATCTGTTTTCACTTGTGTCTTCTTCATTCAAAATGTACTGTGACACTGGCATGGATTACATACAAAATCTGAAAATGAAAAAATAGCCCTTTCTATAATGTAGGCTCAATAAGTATCTGGAAAAGGAAGAAAGTTGAGATCATGTAACAAATGAAATTCACTCTTTGAGGACTGAAGCTTTTTAATATGATCCTTAATTTTTTATGACGTACCCCTTTCTGCGGGGGTCTGATTTATTCTTATTCTTATTCTTTCGCCTTATTCCAAAATGCCGTTGGAGAACACCAGGTTTTCCTTTTAACTATAGACATCCTCCCTTGTGCGCCGGAACACCTGTAAATCTTTCATTTTGTTCTAACATGCAGACACCAAGGGCCAGGAAACCAAAGAGCCGACAAAGCGTCGAATATTCTAAAAACGCACAGTAACACAATGAACCAAATGTGAAACAAATAAACCATATTCTCAAAAATACTGAGCGTGGTAACACAGCTACGGACAGCAAGAGGAGATAGCTTAATTCTGTAGTGGCTTAAAAAACTCTCGGAGAAAAACAGAAAGTGAATCTGTTTGATTCTAGTTTTATTTCCACAAGACTAACTCATTGTCAGGTGCTCCCTGTGTTGCTGTACTTAGGTGACCTGGGCCCATCTCTTTAGCATGTGCACTATTTTTTGTACGAACCAGCATGCTTACATTCTCCAGTAGAAGCACCAGCTGGAAGATCTCAAACCCTGACAGACGCAAACACTTGCGCAGACTATGAGGTCAGACACACACCACCCCTTCAGCCTTCCGAACGCTCAGACACAGTTACCTGCAGGTCCCCCCACTGCTCTGAAAGCACCACACAATTTCACAATAGCAGCACCCTTTGTTTCCCAACTGTACAAATTGCTACAAAACGAAACCTTCCAAGCCCCACGCATGTTGAAGGCCTGAAAAGAGCCGCCCGCCTTCTGATTCTTTGGAAGAGTGTATGCATAGACAACAACAAAAATCAAACATTAAGGCACAGTTCCAGCTCGCACCCAAACATTACACTCCTGTAACCAGCTGAGCACCAAGTGGTAAACAGATTGGCCGCCTGTAGCCAGCGAAGACTGCAGATACAATCACATTCCCAAACGGAGTTCTCCCAGACAAAAGGTGTTGAAAAAACAACCCCGGCAGGCAGGCAGACTGCTTGAAAGAGACAGAGAGGGCAGTAACTCCAGCTTGGAAAGGAAAAGAAAAAAACGACACATGGATTAGAGTGAGAAATTCAGTCTTTTTTTTTTTAGGAGAACATTAGGTAGTAGCAGGAGGGAAAAAAAAAAAGATCCCACAGTCACAAATGCCAACCTGCCCATGTTGTTTGTATCGGACGGTATACCAGATCTTCAGCAGAAGAGCCCTGGCATTGCTTACCCATAGGGATCATATTCTAGTGGGCACTGCAGCAGAACTGGCTGTCCTGTCCTGGTGTCCATCATGTCACACAAGGTACTTGGACCCTCTGAATCTCCTTCCCTAGATGTGCCTGTGACCTCCATCTGTCAGAGCAGCAACTCGGAGAGCCTGCAGACTGTCCCTGGACGGTGTCGCCTAAATGCCTCCCAGATTTGGGCTTCTCCCAAAGCAGCATCACTACCGGAAATCTGCCGATAATATTTCAGTAGTGCAAAGCAGGGACTGACTTGTGCCCACATTCCGGCACATGGGAGTCACTGGACAAGACTAATTAGAAGGCCTTAAGGATCCAAGAAGTCAGTTGATCTTACTGTATCTGTGCAGCATTGAAAGCTAGGAGCTGTGAACCCGTGCAGAGCACTCAGCTCAGGCTGATGAGGTGCTCCATCTCTCGGAAGGATTATTTTAAAGGAATAAATCATACCCTCCAGCAAAATGCATTCTTTTTTGTTTCTCGTTATTCTGTAGTAATCTTAGCCAGGAATTAAAGTCTTAGCCGGAAAGGAACATATAAAAGCTAAAATAACTAAATGCAATTGAAATGGTTAATGATCTACAGTACAGGCTAAACGTTCTGCATCTATTCTTCTATTCATATATATTCTGTGCTAAGCAGTTCACACACAATAATAATTTTCAACTCACCCATTAATTAACCTACAATTGAATAATTAATTCAACTGCACCCATTTTGCATTGCAAGATTAAACATGGTTTGTGTCACGGGGGTGTTAAATACGTGTTTTCTCTGAAGAGAATGTTTTGAACAACAACAATAATAAAAATCAAAGATGTTTGAACAACAATAATAAAAATAAAATAATAATAACATACTGTCTTATTGTAACGATATTATAACGACAACGTTCTTATGTTACCACTGATCAACGTAATAATCTCCCTACCGGTTCACCAACACAAAGTCGTGTTGTAGAATGAAATTAAATATCAGAAACTCAATCACACTTATGTAGCGTAAGAAATGAATTAACGTTATTGATCAATTCTGTCTCTCAAGAGTAAATTGCAAAAATGTACTCAGAATAACCCTTTTAGCTGTACAGTACTTAAGAAAGTAAATCTAAAAGTACGAGAGAGGCATTAGGCACACGGGAACAAGGGTGTGAAAACCCGATGCATCTGAAAAGATTACAGAAGACAGCAACAGCTAAAACATTTATTTCGTATGCACAAAAAATTGCCGATCCCATTGCTATGAAAGTGTTAAATCTACTCGAGCTACAGTAAATGGCCAATTACAACAGGTGACGAAAAACATCTTAGGTCTACACTATTATAATGTAATGGCTGTTGGACACTTAAAACCCATAAACCATAGACTCACGGCATGTAATATGAATTGATACAGTTACACAGCGAAGTACTAGAATGATAAAAAAGGTATGAAACTGAACATTCCCTTCGTCGACTTACCTTTTAAGGTAATATTGTGCCTCTGAAAGCGATTATCCAAATCCTTCGCTAATGTCCGGCGCACAAAAGAACTGAAGCCCAGTTTATACGGTAGCGTCCACGGTGCTTGTGGTTTTTTGTGCTTAGGTTTAAATAAAATTGATCTATCTTTTTCTTCACGTTTCTGGCTATTGTTCCATCACCACAAGAGATTGCAGCGAACCTTTTCTCCGGTGACAAGTCCATGTGGATTGCGCACGTTCAATGTCCCATTTCCAACGTGAGCAATGGAACAGGAGTTGTACTCATCCTCAACTCCCCATCAATTTTAATGCTCCTTTGGATTCTTCTCTATCCCCATATTCGAGGCTGAAGAGGTCTGTCCCTTTCCTTCTTCCCAAATTCACAAACGGGGATCCACGCACCGGCGTGCCTGACTGAAGAGCATCAGCTTCTAAACCAGTTAATCACACGCTCAGTGCGCCGTTAGTCTCCCACTTCCAATTTTCAACAGGGAAAAATTAAAACTGCGGTTTTTTTTTCCTTATCTGTACACTAACGGTGTTTTTATATTCTCAGACTGTATGTTTAACCCGTACATCTCTATAGGAACAGAGCGCATTGCCTCAGAAGCTAGTCATGAGTCAATGGGCGCAGCCTACAATCCGTTCTTTTTCCGCTCTCATCTTTGGCAGGTGGAGTGAAATTCTTTTACATGATGATTGTGAGCAGCAGGCAGAGCGAACCAACACGAACGTTATCAGCCTCGGTTTACTTCGATTCACCCCTGAATCACTGCTTTAGCCGCTCGTTATTGGCTCAAATCGCTTTATCTTCACGGTGGCACAACCATGACTCACAAATAAACGACAATAACGATCATTCGGCACTGACCTCGAATTTCAAAAGTGGAGTTTTAGGACTCCACGAGGCGAGGCATCTCACATATTGATAATCATTTTATCGGATGTAACCGGATACGAAAACGAGGGATATCAATTCTTCAATTGTCCTAGCTTGCTGTGTAATGTGGGATTTGGGAAATGTTTCCTTCACAAATGTACAAATATTTTCATTTTCATTCGCCCAAACAAAAATATTTTTAAAGTGCCCTGAAAAAAGGTGAACACACGCCTGTAATGTCTGTCAGACCCTGAAACACTCCTCAATCAGTTCCCCTCTACTTAACAATTGATATTTCAACCACTAGCAGGCTATTTTCTGTTGTCCTAACGCAGGGTTTAACGGCCACGTTGTTAGTAAAATAACCTAGGTTTGAAAAGCTTCGTTTATCCTGTAGTATACTTATGTAACCTCAAGGTTATAAATATTTTAGCACGCTTCTGTGTTGGATTTCATAACTGTATTCGGTCTAATTACATTCTTCATTAATTACACCTTGCTTTCCTCTGGAGGCAGTCGCCGGCTATTCAAACTTATTTATGTATCGCCTGTAGGGTTTACGGCAATGTCCCTATTCCAACCATTTCCAATTAGTGGTTATTAATATTTAAGGGAGGAGTCATTTTCAGTTTCCACAGATTCAAATAACAGATAATTGATTTCAGATTGTTGGAATCGTTTGTGGGACATTCATTACTCTGCGTGGATAATACTTCAAGCACCTCTGAGAACATTGACCCCCCATTTACTTACTCAAGAGGAGAAAATTATGGATAGTAAGGCCCCCACAGCCCCCTCCAGACTGCACAGAGCTACTGTACCTTCGGTCCCGACCGAGGTAATGCGCCATTCTGTGTACAGACGCAGCTGGCGTGACGGATGACCCAGGTGGAACTCTAGTGAATACATTTGAGAGTGCCTGGTAGATGGAGACACTGAGTGCTTACTTCACTTAAAGACCCAGGTTGCTGAAGAGATTTCAAGGTTAGATTATGAAAATTGCAGATGTTCACATGGCACTGTACAGAATATGCACATCTGCGGTCACCTCCGCAGTTTAAACGCAACCCATAAGGCTGCTTATTTTTCAGTGGTTGTCATTCCGAATTGTATCACATCTACGACTCTTAGATAACGTAAGATTTAGTTACGTTTGTCAGTAATTGTAAGGAGTGATACTCACAGTACGCATGAACAATGTTACATAACGTAGCTCATAGTACGTAGCGCTGGTGCTGGATTCGTAAAAAAAATCTAAATCTTCTTCAAGGTATTTCGTTTAAAAGGCTATGAAAAGTGATCCCTGTAATGGCTAATTAGGTATACCCTAATTAGTTAATAACTGTAGTGACCCAAGAACCCACAAAATAAATATTAAAAAAAACTGCAGCAGGTTCTTCTTCAGATTTTTCGTTGAAGTATCTGTATTTTCGCCTGGTCTATCTGAGTTGCGATAGAATTAGGAAAGGGTGATCTTTACTGCCAATAGTGCAAACCTACTGCGCTGTTGAGGAAGACGACCAGGCAGCATGGCTGAAAATATTTCATAGTAAATTCAGCATAATCTGTTATTTTGGAAGTGTCCATCAAGTGTAGCTCCCGTGTGTTTTAGAGTGAGGTTAGTGAGGTTAGAGTAAGGTTAGTGGTAAGGAAAGAGATATATACACATAAGGTAACGTTAACATTTATTACAAAGAGATGGGCAATGGAATTTTCATAATGAGACTTTCATAAGTAATGTCACTCCTCGAATAAGCAATTAACACTATCATCGATGTCAAAGAATCATAAATAGACATGGAAGAGTGAAGAAAATAATTGTCATGCTAGTAACCACCAGTGCTGGAGAAGGACTGTCAAGAAAATCTAATGATCATTAATTAGGGAAAAAAAACAATGAGAACATTAATCCGAAGCAAAGCAAATAAACTTTGAGTTTTGGTCAGTCTGAAGCACAAGGAATCTTGGGGTCTCATTATTTAAACCCCATTGAAGCAACTGGTGTTGGAAAGATCATTATTCAGTTTCAGCATTAATAAAACCTGCCTTGCAAACCGGTACTGCAAGTTCTAATGGGCTTCAGAATTAGAAGCGTTTCCAAGTGCTATCCCAGGGGACGACAAGCCACTAGGATCCGCGGGTGGGCGGGAGCACTGTCCTGCTTTGCATACAATTTAAATGTAGCGTTGCTATAGGAATGCACAGTCAAGTCGTTAAGAGATCCCTCTTTGGATGTGACTTTGCCTTATTTGTAACTGAAAATGTACAAAGAAAGGAAACAAAGCCAAACACAAAACACTCTGCAGTGATGGCATGTGACAAAATCAAAAACCAGTTGCAGTTGTAAAGCTCTCCATTCTGCAGGACAACAATTACAGTGCACCTACACCATACCTACACCACCATACCTACACTTAAATCTGCATGCAAGCGGGCATTTCTGCTGCTGAACTGTGAGATCTCGCAGTGAACCGGCTTTTGAAACTGTTCTTCACCACATTGTAGCTCTACGACGGAGCAATATCATGTTCTGAACAAATCAAGACTTTTTTTGGAAACAAAAGATGTAACTGTTGCTTTTTTTTAATTCACAACATTGCCAGTGTAATGATTGAAAACACTTGTTTTACGCTGCAGCTAGAGTTCACAAAGGTGAGCCATTCAGCGTCTTTGAAGCACCTGCAACTAATAATGAAAAAGTCATTGAATTTGAATGAAGCATAATCATTTTAGTTCCAGCAAATCAAAAGTATTGTAATACAGTTAGAAATAGGTTGGTTATATGTAGTCTTTATTTTCCATCAGTTTTTTTGCCATATGTTCTGTTTTTTTTCCATTTGTTTTAATAATAAAAGGAGAAAAATAATGGTTTGTTTAAAAGTTGTTTTTGCATAGTGCACAGTACCACCTTGTGGTAAGAATTTGCTATTACAATTTCTTATTGCTGTATTTTTCTAATCAATGTGTTTCTTCCACCCTTTAGCATATTTCAGAACCTTATGCTGTTTTATTAACCAGATTTCAAATATGACACCACATTTTGGAAACTCACAAGACTGAAATCTATATGATGAAAAAACACAAAGGTTTCATTAAGCTTTCTAAAGACCTTTCAGCAAGTATACACGTATAGTTCACTGGTTTTTCTAACCACCAAAACCATGCGAATTATCATTTGATATTGTCTTGTGATTTTTAAAAGTGAAAAGTGGTTTCAATGATTAAAATAAACAGTTTAACAAATCTGCACTTTACCTTTCTGCTAAGCATATTGAAAGGACACAAGATTCATTTATACAGATGTACATTCACAGGTGGTTATACAGTAAAATATTTTTATTTGACTATGAGCCATGTGGGATTATTTTAAAATCTGCTAGATCATTTAAATCTAATTTAAGTAAACTAGTGTTACTCTGATGAAGGTCCCCCATGTTACCAGTTTTGCCCTAAATTAACCAACTATTCTAATCTGAAGCACTGAAAATATAATCTCCATCAGCATTATTTTGTGGAATAATAAATCCATAAAAACTCCACATTTATTTTACTTGCTTAGCAACCTCTTAAACCTCAGGACATAGAAATGGCCAGGTTGTAACCTTGGGTTAACAGCACATATTCCTCAGAAGGCCAAGCACAAAGTATTATTTTCTAAATGAAGAGGCAATGCTATCATTTGAATGTTTGCAGTTTTTATTTCACCTATGAATAGCATAAATCAAACCTGCTGCTTTTTCTCTTCATGCAACTGAAAGAAGGCTACTTAAATTAATGCAATGGAGATGGTGACCAGTTTTCATCTCAGAACAGAACATCTGTTCATGAAGATTGCTTCAGCAACAGCCCAGCACAATCTTGAACAGTCCGCCAGATTTCACTATCTGGGCTCCAGTAAGGATCTGGCTGAAGGGCACCATCTAATCATTTATCAACGTGTGCTGGAGACAAGAAATAAACAGGCTAAATGAATCACCTGTGAAAACAAAGACTCCATTATAGAGGCCTGCAGAAATGTAGAAATATAGTACTTTGCACATCATTAGCAGTAGCTGGAAACAAACATGACACTATTTTTTTTCTTAGTCCTCTAAAAGATTTACTGGCGAATTTATTATGTTACTATAACCCAAAGGTTAGAGCTATTTTTTGCTGTGTTCTGCATCATTTCTCGTTTGCTGTTTATTTTTCTCTGCATTCCTTTTTTTTTGCTGCACACTAGACCGTACCAGAAAACAAACACAGCAGCTCTATGCTTCCTGATTTCAAATGCGCTAGCTGTGCAGCCAGAGATGGCAGTCTTCTACTCAAATTTCAAGGGAATCTTGGTGATTTGCATCTGAGAAAACAAAAATGCCTAAAATATTTAAATATCCAGACCACACAGAATATCACATGGAAGGACTATTGAGGACTTGTTCAACAGACTGGAAATAAAGACAACTGATGCAGGCTTTTGCTCATCTTAAAATAGCTAATTTTGTTTTGGGTAGCCTGCACTTATTGTAAAAAATATACAGTGCCTAATGGGAATAAGTGATAGTATAATATGGTATCAGCGAAAGCTACTTATGTTTGGAAACTCTAACATTCTGCTCCTGCTGTATTAACAGATTGATTTTCATTTTATATCAACCTGAATAAAATAAACCTTGAATAAAAAACCTTGAATAAAAAAAATTACCATTTGCACATTTGGAGGTTCATAATACTATTATTATTACATTGCAAACAATACTATGGCTGATCTAAGTTAGTGGAAGCCTGAGATTAGGATTTAAGCTTCCTCCTTAGTTTCTGTTCTAAACTCAATTTTTTAATCGCTTCCCAAAACAATGACTCAAAACACATGCGATGCCTTCCTACTGAGAGAACATAATAGCCTATTTTCAGAAATGAGCTGGATTAGCCTCAGGACTTTGATTACTATGGCACTGGTGAAATGGTGCTTCATACACCTGAGGCGCTACTGGACCACATGGCTTTTAATAACAGTGGGTCAATGACAACTGGCTAAGCCTGCACTGACAAAGCCTGAATTGTAGAAATTCACAGGACAATGAAACAAACAGCAACTTTGCCTGTTCACAG